ATGCGCTGCTGCTGCTGCGGAGGACACGGCCTGGCCGAGTGGCGCGGCTGCGGAGAGAAAGGTCTGCCCTGGTTGCGTGGCTGGGGTCGTCAGGGCCAGACTTTGATGCGCTGCTGCGGAGGACACGGTCTGATGGGGTGGCAAGGCTGCGGAGAGCACGGCCAGACCCGCGTGCACTGCTACGGGCAACAGGGCGTGCTGAGGCGGCAGTGCGCCTGCGTTGAGCAGGGCCAGGCCGGGATCCGCGGTTGAGGTTGCGGTTGCGGTTGCGGTTGCGGCGAGCAAGGCCTGCCCTGGTGGCGCGGCGGTGGACATCACGGCCAGATCTAGATACACTGCCACGAACAGGGCCTGGCACGGTGGCCTGACTGTGTGGGGCAGGGTCAGGTGCGGATGCACCGTTGCCGAGTGCAGGGCCTAAAGCATAAGCAGAGGGCTGAGGCGCTGTATCTGTCAGGGCACTACCGCTGTGGACTGCGGGGCCTCTCCGGATTTGGCTGCCGAAGGCAGGCCCCGGATGAGTTGCCCGACTCTGCGGAGAAGCCTGAGACTGGTAGCCGGTGCGGGGCTCGGACCTCGGAGAAGATGGCAGCGGACGCACAGATGACTGCAGCGTGGCGGCGCCAAGAGGCTGAGGGCACTCTAGAGATGCGGCAGCCCGCTTGCGGAGGGGCTGCCTTTTAGGACGGTTGCTCCTACGGCTCTTGCTTTGAGCCGAATGCCCACCGGGCAGCTCAGTGCCCTCTGGGTCTTGCCCCACCTCGGACCAGCCATCTATACGTGTAAGGTACACACGGGGGCTGCACCTGACCTGGGGAGCAGAACTGTGCTCCGCAGGCAAGCAGGTCTCGGAGGTCGGTGCTGGGGCTTCACCAGCCAAAATGGCCACAGAGCCTAGAGAACCTGCTGCGCTGCTTCTCTCCGGGTCACTTGACAGAGGAGCCCCGCCCGAAGCTGTGAGGACCAAGGGAACAGGATATTGATTACCGGTTCCACAGGTGCCGGTGTTCTCACTGTTCGGCTCTCCAGGCACCTCATCCCAGTGGCGCGTCTCTTTTCCCAACGACCGGGTGGCCATGACGGTAACTCGTGCTCAGACACACGCCAGTCTGGCCGTTACTGCGATCTGGCTAGAACCAGAGCTCGTTGAGAACGAGACTGGGTGGAGCCAACTGAATCTCTGCCTCTGATTGGTGAGCTGGACATCATGTGATTTGCCCGATTTTCTCCGAGCAGGGTCGGAAGACGAGCTCCACCCCTCCTCCCTTTCTCCGGCGAGAACTTGAGAGTGTGCGCCCCCCCTCTTCTACCCTCCCACGTAAATAGTGCAACTTTCTCTAGCCTCAAACCTGGCCTCTAGGAGCGTGTTTCAGGGTAGAGTCTTGGAGTGAAGGAAGTCTGTATGAACTATTTGAGACATCCCAAAGAACTTGCCATGTGCTCACTTCGGCGGCACATATACTGGAAGAGCTTATCAACGTTGCCCTGGTAGCTCAATCTTGCTAACATATGAGATACGGACTTAGTATTTTTCAGTAAAATGCTTCTCCCTGCCATGTCCCCTGAGGCTTAGGTTGGGTTTGCCTACCATTTGTATGGGCTGTATAGGTATCCACAGAAATGTACGGGAACCGCTCTCTTTTCATTAATATAAATATGCCATGATGCACTTAAAGACTAATACTTGGATGCTCATTTTTAGTCATTAATACAAAAGGGGCTGCCATTTTGGTACACAAAGCAAAAAAGCAAAGCCGGGTGTGGCGGCGCACGCCTGTAATCCCAGCACTTGGGAGGCTGAGACCAGCTTGGGATACAAAGTGAGCTCAAGGCCAGCCTGAACTGCATAGCGAGACCCTGTCGCAAAAAAAAAAAAAAAAAAAAAAAAAAAAAAAAAAAACCCAAAAAACAAAACAAAACAAAACAAAACAAAAAACAAAAAAGCAAACATAAGAAAACCAGCACCTAAATTCTCACTCATTCATAGGTGAGTCCTGGAAATGTTTAATTATATCTCAGGAGTACAGTCATTCATACATATTTCATAGTTTTATGCAAATGGAATTACTTATGCATACCTATTATTGCTACCTATTGCTTTTTGAGTTCAGAAAAAAACACTATATCTCAATAACATATTTCCACAAAGCTATTTCATCACTAAAAATATTCTTTTTAAGGAGGAAGATTATATTTTTAAGTATTCCTATACTGACCACCATTTATGTTCTTTCCAACTTTTCACAAGGCCCTTAGACATATTCTCACTAAAAGTTGTCCATATCCTCCAAAAGTTATTCTTGTGAATAAATTCTCATAAGAAGAAATTTCTGGTACATATCTATGCACACTTTAAATTATTAGATAAAAATACTGTCAAACCCTTCCCTTGAAAGTGGCTGTTACAACAATTTTAGCAGAGCAAGATAGTTAAGGGACTGGATGGGCAAAAAGAAAAAGAACAAAACATAAACCAAACCACAAATAGCCAAAGAAACCCTGAACAGAAAGTACAAAGCCAGAATTACCGTACTATCTGGCATCAAAATATGCTACATGCTATAGTAATCAAAGTAGCATAATACTGGCACAAAAAACAGGTCCGTAAACCAACAGAACAGAGTACAGGGCCCAGAAATAATTCTGAGTATTTACAGTCTATTGATTTTCAGCGGAGATGCCAAGAATATACATTGAGAAAAGGACAGTCTTCAGTGAATGGTGCTGGGAAAAATGGATATCCACATGCAGAAGAATGAAACTAGTGTACCTTCTCTCTCACCATATAAAATCAATGTAAAATTCATTAAAGACTTAAATATAAGACCTCAGGCTGGGTATGGTGGCACATGCCTGTAATCCTAGCACTCAGGAGGCTGAGGCAGGACGATTGTTGGGAGTTCAAGATCAGCCTGGGCTACAAAGTGAGCTCAAGGCCAGCCTGAATTGCATAGTGAGACCCTGTCTCAAAAAGACAAAAAAGAAAGAAAGAAATAATGCTTTAAGGGCAATCTGCAAAGTCCATTTTGCCATGAGAGTAACATAACCACAGTAGTGATATCTCATCTTATTCACAGGTGCAACCTCAATTCAGTTGGAGGGCATGATACGAAGATGAGGGTGACTGGGGTAGAATTCTGCCTACCACATAAAGTGTATATCCAACAGACATGCACATTCTCCAAAAGACATAAATAAGTATATTCACAGTGGCATTATTGAAAATAGTCACAAACTAGAAATAATCTAAACATTCATCAACAACTAAATGAACAAAATGTGGTGCATTCATACAATGGAATACTATACAGCAGTGAAAAAGCAAATACCACTACATGGAACAAACTGCTCAGATCTAAAAATCATTAGTATTGATTGTTCGATTGTTGGGAGTTCAAGACCAGCCTGGGCTACAAAGTGAGGTCAAGGCCAGCCTGAACTGCATAGCGAGACCCTGTCTCAAAAAGACAAAAAAACAAAAACAAACAAACAAAAAAAAGCTATCAAAAAAGTAAAAAAAAAAAAAAATGAAAGGCAAGAAGTATTGATAGAAATGTAGTTCAGGCTGTTAATCCCTAAGATTCCAGACAAGTCTAGAATTCAAAATGCTTTGAAAACAAACTTATTTTTGACTTGATTGTAAATAAGATATGATCTGAACTGAAGCTGTTTGTAATCTTTAGATCCTGGAGAGAAAATGTGTTTCACTGCATACTGTTATTAGATTCAGAGAATTCCAGACATTGGTATGTGTCTTAGGTAATGCGTGGTATAGCAACTCCAATATTTGGTCACAAGAGTTTCACATAAAGGATTGTGGATGTGTAGTAATAGAAGATTTTAACAACTGTGTCAGTTGAAGACAGATCAAGTTCATGAGAAGTAAGAAAAACTGCAGAGAGTTTATCAGATTTGTTGAATGTATTGAATTATTTGAATCATATGATCATTTGAAGTACTTGAACAATCCCTTCTGTTTAGCATTTCAGAGGATCATGAGTTTTCTCCTTCAATACAGTGACCTGTGGTTACAATGGATTAATTAAATTTTGACCGAGTGATACAGTGGATTAATTAAAATTTTTACTAATATTATATCATATGTTCATGATTGGGAAACAACCAGAATGTGGCAGATTTTAACTACTGCTGAATTTTATTCATACAAACTTTACTGTTAAAAAATTAAATCTGTGTTAGTAAAGGAAATGGATCAATACCCCCCTCTCTATTTCTGTGTGTGTGTGTGTGGGTATGGTGTGTACTGCCTAAAATCAAAGTTGAGACTCCCTTCATTAAATAAATTTGGAAGATTTCTATCTTTGCTTTCAGCTTCTAAATTACTTTTTAAAACTGGCTTAGGAATTTGTGATTGCTTAAAAGAACTGCATAATTGTATTCAGCTTTTCATGTACTTTTAACAGTAATTTTGGTTCTTAATCCCAGTGGAAGAACACCATTTTCTGATGAAGGTATGGGCATCCAAAAATGTGTAGAGGGAGATAGGTATGCTGTAAGCAAGATAGATGCTGACATCAGATGGACTTGGGAGGTCGTCCCAGTTCCACCACTTACTGTATGGCTTCCAGCAAGTTATGTAATCTTTAGAGGCCTAGTTTCTTTGTTAGGAAAATAGTCCCCTCCTTTGCATTGTTTCCCCCAAATTTACCAGAGTGTTCATTGAGTGGTAATACGTTCATATTATCAATGCAATTAATGTGCAAATCTGCTCAAAGCAAGAATAAAATATGCAGTCAGGCACAGTAGCTCACACCTGTATCTGGAAGGCTGAGTCAGGAAAATTTCAGTTTTATCCCAACCTGTACAACTTAGTGACTTGGCAAGACCCTGTCTCAACATGAAAAATAAAAGAGGGCTGTGAATGTACTTCAGTGGGAAAGCCTTGGGTTCAATCCCCAAATACTGAAGAAAAAAAAAGTGAAACATGTATTTTCTTTTACAAATAGTCACAATTGATATCACCAAGTGACAAGTAATAACTATATTAGAAATTGAATAAGTTTGAGCCTTTATTTAATCTTCTGAAAATTACGCTTAGAATTTCTATGTACTTTTCTATGTAGAATTTTACAGATTGTTTCTACATAGAATGCAGCACCTACTCTGTAATTTTCTCAAAATAACATGTACATACATGACCTCAAAAGTTAACTGGTAACAATAGCCTTTAATGGAACCAGAAATCATTTGATTCTAAATCCACATCCATCCCACAATCCCTGAAACGTATTTCATTTTTTTCTGTTTCTCAATTATCTGGCACGATAGTAACACATCACAGGTTTATAATGGTTGAAGCATAATGCAGAAACAACAAGTAAATATTCTGGTTTCAGGTACCACATGTGAACAAGTTGGAAAGTGACACCTGAAAACACTGGACAACTACACACGGTGGTGCGTGCCTATAATCCCAGTACTCGGGAGGCTGAGGCTGGAGGATCTTTGGGAGTTTGAGACCAGCCTGGACTACAAAGTGAGCTCAAGACCAGCCTGAAGTGCACTGAGAGACCTTGTCTCAAAAAGAACACCCCCCCAAGAAAAAAAGAAAGAAAGAAAAAAAGAAAAGAAAAAGAAGACACTGGACAAACTGAACTCATGGCTTTTTTGTAAAACCCATCAGAAAACTGAGGTTGCAAGCTAAAGCACCACGCTGAAAGACAGATCTCAAATCTGCTTACCTGGAGAAGTTGCCTCCAGAGCCGTAAACAGAGAAGACTTAAATGATAAATACACTGACTCATTTGAGGCTGACTGTGGACTAGTACGAGGGTGAAAGGCCTCCACACGTCGGTGGGCTTTACCTTCAAGAAGATGTCCCTTTGTCCAGAGCGTGCGAAGCGACATCGTACACCTGGGGGTCAGAGGCGGTTGTGCGGCAAGTCTGCACTCCGTACCTGCTGCCGAAACTGCAGCTCAAGGTGCCTGTTGGATCAGTGCCTGATGGTGCTCTTCACGCCTTGGAGGAGCAAGAGGGTGGAGGTTGCGAATTGGAAGTACAGGCAATGCTGCTTCCTGCAGAGCCCGCGGTGTAATACAGCACTTGAGGGGTTTCGAAGGGCGAAGGACGTAGTCCT